ATAATTTGTTTTACAGTTCCTCACAGCAGTAGTAGAACGTTCCATTGATTTGAATGTAATTTCAAAACTTTCTACCGATCGTTATTTCTTCATTACTGACTCTCAAACTAATAATGGCCGCTGCCCTTTGGCAACGCACTCTGTGCTTGTAATTCAGGTCTGTAAAATACTAAGATTACTTCGGACAGTAGTTTGTACACTTCGTCACAACGGGCTACGTCACTACTTCTGTCTCTGGGCGGCACGGTGGTTGAGTGGATAGCACTCTCGCCTCTCAGCAAGAAGGTCCTGGGTTCGAATTCCGGTCAAAACGGTGTCTTTCTGAGTGGGGTTTGCATGTTCTCCCTGTGCTTGCGTAGGTTTCATCCGGGTACTCTGGTTTCCCCTACCACTAAAAACATGCACACTTTGTAAAATCCTCCTGCTCTGGTATTCCTGACCAAGGCAAGCATCAACATCTGGGGATGGGTTCCCAGGCGCTGTTACTACGGCGACCACTGCTCCTGCCGTAAGCCTTAGCGGCATCAGGATGGGTCAAATGCAGAGGATGAATTGCCCTACGGGGCTCAATAAAGTGCACCTTTACCTTTACCTCTTCAGAGAAGCTATCGGACTTAGCCACGCTCATTAAACATGATTATCAATTAATCAACACATTTAAATGGTACTGTAATCAGAAAATACAATATACATTCATAATACACGTGCACAGATGTTTTTAGAATTATCTGTTAACGTTTTCCTGAGAAAAAAATATTGTTTTAATGTGAGAAAAAGCGATTGTGGTAAATTCGGAAGTAACCATTAACATTAACAGAACATTTTAGGACACATTTGTAGAGGATCTGGTTATGGATTTAGATTGAATTTATATTTGGGTCACTCACCGCTGATGTTCACAATTTTTTTGTTCAGTTTTTATGTAGTTCCAGAAACTTCTAGTTAAGTAGCTAGCTAGCTGTTACAAGCCTAGCCACGTCACGGCGAAATCTTTGGGAACTAACTATTATATATACAGGTCCTTCTAAAAAAAAATGCATAATGTGATAAAGTTCATTATTTTCTGTAATGTACTGATAAACATTAGACTTTCATATATTTTAGATTCATTACACACAACTGAAGTAGTTCAAGCCTTTATTGTTTTAATATTGATGAATTTGGCAAAAAAAATAAAGAAAAAACAAAAATCCCTATCTCAGAAAATGTGCATATCATGAAAAGGTACTCTAAACAAGCCATTAACCTAATCATCTGAACCAACAAATTAACTCTAAACACTTGCAGAAGATTCCTGAGAAACAGCGGCAGAAGCGCCTGACCTGGGCTACAGAGAAGCAGGACTGAACAACTCAATGATCCAAAGTACTTTTTTCGGATGAAATCAAGGGACCAGAGTGTGGATGAAGACTGGGGAGAAGGAAATGCCAAAATGCCTGAAGTCCACTGTCAAGTACCCACAGTCAGTGATGGTCTGGGGTGTCATGTCAGCTGCTGGTGGTGGTCCACTGTGTTTTATCAAGGGCAGGGTCAATGCAGCTGGCTATCAGGAGATTGTGGAGCACTTCATGCTTCCATCTGCTGAAAAGCTTAATGGAGATTAAGAATTCCTTTTTCAGCACGACCTGGCACCTGCTCACAGTGCCAAAACCACTGGTAAATGGTTTACTGACCGTGGGATTACTGTACTCAATTGGCCTGCTGGCCTACTGACCTGAACCCCATAGAGAATCTGTGAGATATTGTGAAGAGGAAGTTGAGAGTCACCAGATCCAACACTGTGGATGAACTTAAGGCCACTATCGAAGCACCCTGGGCCTCCATAACACCTCAGCAGTGCCACAGGCTGATTGCCTCCATGCCACGCCGTATTGTAGCATTCATTTCTTCAAAAGGATTCCTGATCAAGTATTGAGTGCATAACTGAACATCAATATGCTAATTTTTTTAGATAGGGATTTTTTGTTTTTCTTTACTTTTTTGCCAAGATCATCAATATTAAAACAATAAAAGGCTACTTCAGTTGTGTGTAACGAATCTAAAATATATAAAAGTCTTTTTTGTATCATTATTTTTTTTACGTTTTATTTCTCATTTAAAGGGAAGAAAGAACAAAAAAAGAGAAAAAAGAAATAATAAAAAAGAAAAAAAAAAGAAAAAACAGCAAAATGTTGCAAAAAAGGAGAATGATAAGTTACAAAAAATATATATATACATACATACATACATACACATATACATATACATACATACACACATACACATACATATATCCACATATACATACATACACATAATCCTATACACACTGACGCATACACAAAACACATTTATATATCTGTATACTCTACGTCTACTCTGCGTCTACTCTGTCAATGTTCAAATCCAGGTTAAAGACTGTTCTGTTTGCCTGTGCATACAACTGAAGGATTTTATCTCCATTTGTAATGCACTGCTGTCATTTATTTATTTATTTTTTTAAATTTCTTGTGTAACTTTGAAAGTGTTAATGGTTTTATTCTTTTGTGTGATTTTATTGTTTTTATTGTGTTTTAATCTTTTGTGTGATTTTAATGTTTTAATTGTGATTCTGGTGTTTGTTTTATGTGATGATTTGTGATGTGGACTGTGAAGCGCTTTGTGTTGCCCTGTGCATGAAAGGCGCTCTACAAATAAACTTTGATTGATTGATTGATTGATCTGTACTGAAGGTCTGCAGCTAACTATATTCAGTTCTTTACACTAGCATCATGGCATCAATTAAAAAGAAAAATAGACAATAAGGTTTCAGTTCATATTCATACATATTATCTGCCATTCTTTTCCAAAAAAGTCTCTTAGTGGTGTCCAATCTTCAATAAAGGAGTCTGGGGTTCCTTCCAGAACATTATATAGTCTTTCATAAGGCAAAATTGACAGGAGCTTTTCACGCCACAGATTAAGGGAGGGCGGATGCTCCTGTATCCAAACATGCAGAATCGAGAGGCGGGCAGCATACAACATAATAGAAAGCATTTTTGTTTTTCGGGTTGGATGCTTGTGCAGTATATGTCCAAAATACAGAATTTAGGGTCTAAATAACACTTTTATACCAAGGTACTTCCCAATTTCCTGAATAACTGAAGACCAGAATGAGACGATGGTTGGACATGACCAGATCAGGTAAAAATAAGTTCCCACTTCAATTTTACCTTTAAGACCGAATTTACTGCATTTCTGATTGTATTTACTCCGAGTTACCGGAATTACAAGCAGTTTGTTAACAATTTTTTACTGTACTTCACATGATTTATTGGATTTGGTGATTTCTTTTGCATGGTCCAGTACCTTATTCCATGTCTGGTCTTCCACTTTTTCATTGAGATCAAGTTCCCAGCTTTGTCTCATAATGATTTAAAAAAAAGATAATGCCCATTACAGATTTGAATATTAAGGTATGTCTAATATTTGTTCGAATATATATGTTTTCTTAATATTCGAGTTGTATTTGAATATCGAACTTTGAAGTCAAAGCCCTACCGTGTGTATGGAGCTGATATAGTTAAGGACCATCAGCACAAACTACGAGGATCCTTTGGGCTGCGTGAAGCGGAGAGACTTTATTTGAAATGTCAGACAAAATATAGTAATTTACAGACATTACTTATTACAATCGGTTGAATTCCATCCGACCAATCAGGGAGCGTTGGAGGCGGTGACGTAAAGAGTTTGTATCGAACGGGCAGGTTGTAGTTTAGCAATGGGGAAAAATGCGATAGTAAAGTAATCCGGTCTGGTTCTATCAAGAAATTGAAGCAAGAGCAAGAGGAATGTTTAGCAAATCATAATCTGGCAAAAATTATGGCGCTACTCCCCGTGGGCTCCGTTAGCGGCAAAGGAGATAGCATTTAGCATTTAGCCTAGCCAACAACTCACTCGGGCGCATTACATATGTCACGGTAAACTCGGACACAATCGTTTCAATCTGCAAAAGGAGTTAACACATTATGGCCACTCCACTTAGTTAATGTCTAGCTTCCTTTGTGGCTCTTATATGCATTGTGGCATTTAGATTTGTCTTAAAGAATTATGTAAGCGTGGTTGAATAGGTGCTCCATTTTATTTTCTCCCCTTAGCCACGGCTTTAGTGACATTTAAACTGCAATTGCATTTGTTCAAGCTTGAGACAGTTGCTTTTAGCTGAATATCAATACATCGATAGAGCCCACAACTCTGGGAAATGTATATAATGCTATTTTCCTGGAAATAAGGTCTTATTCATTCAATGAATTCATTATGCAGCTGCGCCACTGGAGAAAAAGGCATCAACATGCAACTATACAGTAGTATTAGAAGTAGCGCAGTAAAAATACTTTGTCAACTGTAATTTTGATAGAGATATTATGTCATAGCATAATGAGTTTGAAAACAGCATTCAGACGGAAGGGGCTGGGGGGGACGCCATTGTTTTATTCACCTTTCCCCCCATAATATAACTAAACCTTTTCTTTTGTTTCCAATCCGACCACAACATGCTATATTATGTGTAAGAAAGAGCCCTGAGTCGTTATTTTCTAAGAAGATGAGGAAAGAATTTTGTCTTCTGGTATGTTCGCAACTTTTACTTTGACTAGACTCTTTCTGTTGGACATGAACTGCATGGATTATGATTGAGGAAAATAGTTAGGTGCCACAGCTTTAACTTTGTCCATGTTCATGTTTTATAATATATCTATTAACTTTTGTCAAAAAAGGACGTGACTCAGAATTTGATACAGAAAAGAAGGACAAAGAATATTCAAGAGTTTCAATAAACAATATTTAATGCTCTTTAAAATTAAATGGAGGGACACCTTGCTGCTTACTGCCACCCAAGCCATTCCCAGCCCCTTCACAGCTCCTGCCTCCTTTGACCAGGTCTGAAGTCCTGCCGCGCCTCATTTTCATTTTGAGTGAGACTTGCTAGATTCTAAAACCCCCGTCCTGCAGCTGTCAGTTTGGCTTGCTCTTGGATGCATGTGTTACCCCAGCCCCCATATGGTCAAGCCTGGCAGCTTTGCCCAACCCTTGAGTTGGTCCATAACCGACCATCCCGTACCCCCCCCCCCCCCCCCCCCCACGCCCCCACCCCCCCCCCCCCCCCCACATGGTGTTTTTTTGGGTTCTCGCACAACCCCGACCCCCCCCCCCCCCCCCCCCCCCCCTGGCCCGCCCCCCCCCCCCCCCACCCGGGTTTTTTTATTTTTTTTTGTTATTGGGGGTGGCCCCCCCTTTCCGACGCTGTGATGCCGCGTCTCTCCCCCACCTCCAGTGCGAGCGCGCAGAGGACCAGAGCGGACCAGCCGCAGCTTCAGCACCAGCCTCAGTATCAGCATCAGAAGTGCAGCGCGTACAAAGCAACATAACCGCGCGGTGTTCTCAGACCACCTCTCTCCAAGCGCACTCCCAACATCTTTCCTCCCACAAAACGGATCGTTCCCCGGGCGACTGTAGCAGCGCGTCGGGTCTTGGATGTCTTGGATATAGCGCTGGTGCGTGCCCGCGTTCCGCTGATAACAGCACGCGTTCTGCTTTTTTTCTTGGGATATTTTCACCTAACTCCGCTCCACCCAGGACTATTACAGATATAACCGTTTGAATTGAGGCGCTGTTGGGGGCCGGGTTGTGGAAGAAATCCCTGGGTCATCCAAGTTTGGATATTTGTCAGGGTCGCGCTGCATGCCTGGAAGTTTTATGCCCCGCTCGGTCTCCCCGGGGACAAGACAGGTCAGTACCGTGATGGGAATGCATTTACGCACAAGATGTAAATACATCTATATGAGCAGTTTTTTGTTTGTTTTTAGAAGTGTGTAGCGTTGTGGTTGTTAAACACAATCTGTGCGTATCGGATCTTTCTGGTCCATGCGCATGTGGAAGGAATCGTGTCTTTATTCAAATTGTAAAAATAGAAGATTATGACAATATTGCACACGAATGTACTTTTCTGAGCCCAGACTTTCATTAATTCTCATGCGTGTGTTAGTGAATCTGTTTTATGAACACAACGCCGCCACATACTGTTTCATGAGCGCTGCACTGCAAAACTATATGTATTTGATTTTGGCATTTTGGATCATAGCTTGGCCATTATGTCTTGTTAGCAGTTTTGAATGTAAGCAAAACGTAAATGGTCGAATACAATTAAATATAAAAGCGTCATAAGTTTATTTTTTACTCTAACAAAGAGATATTTAAACAGTCAGAAATGCATTTTAACCGGTATAGCCTATTCCAGGGCACAGACACCTACTGTCTACATTTTGGCTAACCATTTCAATCCCCCCCCCCCCCCCCCCCCCCCCCCCCCCCCCCCCCCCCCCCCCCCCCCCCCCCCCCCCCCCCACCCCCCCCCCCCCCCCCCCCCCACCCCCCCGCCCCCCCCCCCCCCCCCAACAACTAGAATTATGTTTGTGTTGGTTACCTCTGTATTCACTGTTATTATTATCTAAATGTAAAGAATGCATTATTTTTTATATTTTGAGTTAACCAAGATTGAAGTAAAAAAAGAAAGCTGCAGGTCTCCAAAGTGGGTATTACCCTCATGTTGGATGCACACTTTTATGAACATGACAGTGTTTAAAATGAAAATCTATCACAGCTTTTTTTTATCTATGCAATATAATTATTTTTGTTTTGCAGTGGGTGCGAGAGTGCAAAAAACTGACATTTGCCAGGAATTTAGTTTAAAAATAAATCATAAAAATGTTTAATTTTAACTGTGATACAGTAAGTTGGGAGAGAAACATATTATTTTTGTGTATTTTTATTTTCATTATTAGAGATGGATAAAACACAGAATGTATGTGTATGTATTTATCGTCTCAAAATATTTGATTCTGTGATGATCTTGCTTCATCGGGATTTCATACGGGCGCTTAGGGCTTATTAGCACACTGGGAAATGTGACGGACAAAATTCAATTATTATTCAGTTACAAACCCAATATCAAAAATTAATATTAAAGCCGCAAGCGGCGATGAAAGGCCTCGCCCCTCTTGCAACTGCGTCCTGGGCGCCGGTCCCACAAGCGTCACGCCGACGAATTGGCAGCCCGATCTGACCAGGATTACGTATATAAAAGCTCATTTATATGATAAAGTGCGTCCCTAGTGGTCACCTCCGGGACATGCACCCTCTACGGTAGAGTAGTATTTTGCTCGTACAGATGTAAAGATTTGATTTTGCAACTTTGGTGAAGATCGGAAAAGTTTTTAGGTCAGAAGCCTTCCATAGGTGGCGCTGTAGAGTCATATTAGGTGTGTGTTTTCACACCATTACTCTCAGGTCATTACCAACTGTTAGCGATGTGAGTTTCAGCTCTGTAGGTCTGAGCCTGTGGTCAGGAGAGCATCAAACATGGAGAAATTCCCCACTACCTCGCATGAAAACGATAACAAAATTCTAACTTTTATGCGATGATTGCATAACTTCAATCCGTCCAGATGGAGAAATGACATGGTAGAAGTTTGTGCGATGAAAATCCAGGGACTAGTACGAAGCCAAAAATGCGACACCTTGAACTGCCTGTAGGTGGCGCTGTTGCACTCACAGTTGTGTGTTGTATATCGTTGTGTTCAAGGTCATACGGTGTATTACTGAATTCATTTTTAGCCTCATCGGACAAACATTTTGCCCCAAAAAGCTCATTCATTAATTTTACGGCGCCCCCAGTGGTCAGGTGTAGGGACGTACAACTTTTGAGTAATGTAATGTTTTGCTCGTCTCGGTCCAGAGAATACACTCAGCGATTTTCGGGCCGATCCGAGCACTAGTGCCCTATTACTTTCCGACAGGTGGCGCTAAAGAGCTCGAATTGGGCGAATGATTTTAGTGTCATTGCGTTCAGGCCATAACCTAATATTACTGATGTGAGTCTCAGCTCTGTAGTCTGAGCCTGTGGCCCTCAGGGCTCAGCGAAAATGGCCAAAACGAAGGCCTTATTCGCCATGGCGAGGGACGAAAAACGGTGAAGATTTTCTAACTTTTTTTCGATGATTATATAACTTCAATCCGTCCAGATTGGGAAATTACGTGGTAGAACTGTGTGTGATGAAAAACCAGGGACTAGTTCGAATTTCTAAATGAAAAGTCAAAATTAGTGGCGAAACTTTGGCCCATCATGGCCGACTTCCTGTTGGTCCCAGACATGTGCTTAGAACGGCTTTTATGCTCGTCTCATAGAGATCTATCACTCATCCGAATTTCGTATACCTACTCAAAAATTTGAAAAAAAATCCCCAGAGGGTCAAAAAAAATGAAATTTCTAGGGGGCGTTATAGAGTCGGCGAGCGTCGGACAATCTGGAAACGTTCATTTTATCAAATTTTTCGCCGAACCGGTCGTTTTAGACCCCCCATGTGCAGACTTTCGTGCATGTCTTCAGGGTCAAAAAATCGAATTGAAGTTTGCGGAAAAAGAAAAAGAATAATAATATGAAACCGGTGAATAACAATAGGCCTCCCCAATACTTCGTATTGGCTCGGCCTAATAAATATATATATATATATATACACACACTCACACATACAATATGTATTATATACATACAATACATTCCAATAATAATGATAAATAAAATAAGTTAATAAAATCCGTTCTTTTGGCTCTAATTTAAACTGTTGAGAACACTGTATATTCAAATGTGCATATACTTATAAATGACAAATTTATGAGTGATATTACAACTGCAGGGAGACTGGGCCTCATAGTGATCATGTGACCTGTCTGTAGGATCAGAGCGCTGTGTGATGACCACATTTTCTCTCAAATAACTCATTTATTTTGGCAATTTTAATTTCTATTTGGGATTTTTTATTATGTGACATCTATTCAATAAGGCTGCAAGGCATATGTCGCTAGTTTGAAGATATTTTCGAGTAATTACAAAGTCGTTAATTACTTCTATTCATTCATCTCTGGCCCTCATTGGGCCTTCAATGTCATATTAGATTCTGATCAAAATCTGTTAAAATTGAATACACCACTTCTACCACTAGAGGGAGGTGTTGAATTTATTCTACTGTATGTTCTTCTTTTCCAAAATCTTTTTTTCCAAAAACTAATTTATTGGCAATAGACAAACATGATGTTATAGTGTTCCAGGATTGAGACAGAAGTGGTGGGGGGACATGTTTGTGCTTGAAGTTCTTACCGTCAATTTAGCTAAAAACTATTTCATGTCTGTGAAGAATGAGGAACAATCTTGGAACATGGTTCAAATCTGCAATTCTTGTTTGAAATAATAAATGGGATATTGAAGTCAAACAATGTCAGCCACTTCTGTACAATCAAACACAGCACTTCAAACACTCGTGAAATTAGAAACAACATGTAGATCTCGGGTCTGTTTGAAGCGTCTTGCTCAGTGGTGCACTTGTACAGCAGCTCAGGAGGACTCACTGCAGAACACACTCTAGAACTGGGATATTTTAATTATTTTTCTAAAGGACCCAATGTTTTCTGTGCTCTTCGGCGGATCAGTGAACACATCACCACTTTGACATTTAAGTGCATATATATATCAAACACAATATTTAATTATGTTAATATTCACATTATTGTGTAAACTATAGTACACATCTTGGACTTGGATACTACCAACCGGGTATAAACCAAGACTTGGTCAAACTTAAACCAGGAAATTGTTTACATACGTCAAAAATGTTTGGAATTATTAGGTCAAGAATTAATATTTTTCTGCCTAATATTTGTCACTTTTAGCGGTGAAAATGGGCTGAGGATTGGATTAGGTTGATCAGAGGGACTGATTTGGCCCCTGGGCCGCGAGTTGAACATTGTGTCAAGTCTTGTATGCTTGTTATTTGCTGCTAAAAACCCTTTATTGAGTAATCTGTGAGGACGAGCCAGCGTCTTATTAATTGTGCGTCATCATAACACACTTGTGCGACTGCAGTGACTTCAGTCAAAGAGGGAGGTATTGGATTTCAACGTCACACAACGGGTTACTCACGCAGACACACACACACACACAAACACACACACATGACACAATGCAAGGACAGGTCTATCTGTCGCCACATTGATCCGAGCGTTTGGCCTGAGTGCTTTGGAACCGGAGAAGTCCTGTCTCTGTGTCGGATGAGAGCTGTCGTAATAAAATACAGTAGATGCTTCTCTTTACGTTAAACCATGAAATCTTGTGTATAAAGACTATTCACAAAATGGAAATTGTAGTAATGAAAGCTGGGGCATGTAACTTTCAATCCACACAAAGGAGCTGTGTAATAAAATCTATGTAACTAGATCCTGGCTCAAAAACGGTTTGCATGTGTATTATTTTGGCATCTGTCCCATCTATAGAACATCTTTTCAGACAGAAAAGTGAAAAAGTGAGGACCATCCTCAATCAGCTCTAAGCCCAAAGCTTAGTGTCTCACAGGGCTCTTTCTTACAAGTATGGCAAAGATAATGTGTTTTCTAATGAAATGAAGAGAGCGCAAAAGCAAATAATTAGGTGTCCCAGCTTTAATGAGACAGAACAGAGATAAGCCAATAATTGGGTAAAAGTCCTTGAAAAATAAATACCTAACATAGCTTGAATTCTTGAGTTACATTTATGTATATTATTTATATATTTAATTCATACAAAAAAATGTGTGAGATAATCTACTGAACAAAGCCGAGTTAAAGCTGGGGTCACTAACTGTAAAAGCACCAAAAATAGAACAACGTAATAAAATCACAGAGGCACATTTAAGATAAAAACTTAAATATCCACCTCAACCCATAAAGGAGTGAACTCAATGGCAGAAATGAATAAAAGCAAATATTTATACAATTATACAAATGTAGGGACATTTTTGTGTGAAGCCATTCAATCAGGTCCCTGTATAGAAAGTGCCATGGATCCAAGATCTCATGTATTTCTGCTGCGCTGGTGTTGGGAAAGGGTTATATGTTGTAGCCTTCAAACATGACTCCTGTGTGTTTCAGTGTGACATGTATCTTGTATATTTGAATTGTGTGGACCTGATCTTGTATACCACTAATGGAAGTGGTGCTATCTACATTTTAACTGCTACGTCCATATCAAATATGTAAATACAATAATTAACCATCGACCCGGATCTGACACCGATTGCACCTCCACGAACACGTAGCGTGGAGCTCCTGTGAAAAAGGCGCGCGTGTGTGACAAAGCCATGCACGCGCTTGTTGAAAGTCACCCCGCGTTGGTGCGCAGCCGAACGCGCTCTTGAATGTGCTTACAGAGGGATATTTGGTGACAGCCTGATGCATCACCACTGGGTCCTTAACTACATTGTACGTGGCGGCAAAGAACAAAAAGTCATAAAGAAAAGAGAACAACGATTATGGGAGAATAGTGTTGTTGAATTGGATTTCTAAAGCTGGAGCTCAGCGTGCATTATGTCTTTCTTTTACTTAGTTCTGAGTGTTTCTGCAGCCACGTTGGTTTGACTATTATACACAAACGTTATTTCAAGTTTTAAAACATAGAACACCCACCAAGATCTTATTCAAACTGAAGAGAGTATAAAGGCAGGTTTAAATGTGCAGTATGTATGTGGTTATGAAAGTGATGTATTATAGAAGTAATACACCAGTAAAGTGAGGACAGTAGTGGTTTCTCCATTACAACTGCAATGTCCATATCAAATATATTCAATTCTAGGTCTGGGCGATAAAACGATAACTACATATATCGCGATAGACACATGTTCAATATCAATAGAAAATGGGGTCAATAGAATGTTCGATAGTTTAAGTTTAAGAAAACACAGGAAGTAAAAACGAGTCACAAGTGCGTGGCTTTCTGGGGGATGTAGGCACAGGCTTCTTGCTCTATCACGGCTGAGCACGAACCGCAAAACATTCTGGCAAATGCACACAAAAAAACAACTGCACCATGCGTAGCATCCATGGATCTGTAGATTGTGTTTCAATGTCGTGACAATAGTTTTGCACGTCCGTTTGAGGAATAGCATGTGCGGCACAGGAGAGGCAGTGGGTACAGAGACTCGATGCATGCGGCAAAAGCAAGAGATGAACTTTTCCTCGGGAAGCACGTCAGGTTATCAGAGAGCCGTCACTGGGACACAAGACACTCAAAAACAGCAAAAACAGGAGCTAAACCAGGAAAGAACAATGATTAAACCAGGACTAACAATGGGGGACTTTTATTGATTTTTCAAGACCCACAGAATATTGTGTACTATCTGAAATCCGAAACCAGATTCTGAAAGAATGGATTGTTTACTTTCATCAGCAAAAATAATTTTCTTTCAAGCTTGTTTCGTTCCCCTGTAATCCCCAGTCGAGTAGAGGGAAGTTTTACTGAAATCACCAGTCTCAGACAAAAAGCTGAGAAAAAGAGGCGCAACAATTGCATCCTGTTTCCAAAACATGCAGAGGCAGCGCTGGTGCTACCTGCTGGCTCGATGAAATATGCTCTAAAGCTAATCCCCATACATCAAAGATATAATAGATATCTGGAAACATAAAAATAGTGAAAAACGCACCGTACTATTTGGTTTGATGCATCTGTGCGTCAATGGCAGACAATGAGCTCTGTTTGTTAAAAAGCCTATATTGTTTTGCATCTGTGATGATGATAAGCTGAAATGTTTGTTTAATTCCAATGTGTTTAAACTGGCTACTTATGTTGGTAAAGCCTGGAAGCGCCGGCAATCCTGTTTATTCAAATAAGTTATATTTGTATCCTGTCAGTCATCTGATCCTGTTCTTTATATTGTGTCTTATAAGCCCATGAAAGGGCTGGGCCTACAGTTGTATGCAAGACACAATAATAATTCAATATTCATTCATTCATTCATTCATATACACTATCTGAAATAATAAAAAAACATCAGTCATGTGACCATCTGCAATATTTTTCCTTTGTATAATATTTATGTAAAAAATCCTTCTAGGAACTTATTACATTAATGTAGCAGTGTATCACATTAAATAATAACATATTTATATAAAATACATGAACTAAAAAAACTAAAATAACTACAGTTCAGAACATATATTCTACTCAGTTTAAATAAATATATATCATAGCCCAATCTAATTTAAGACGTAATTTAATCTAATTTAAGTTGTAAAAAACGATGTGATTGGGGATGATCTCAAAGTTAGTTTGGAACTCTGTCTGTGGTTTGAAAAGGCAAAAACAGCCCTATTTGTTTGAGATTATGTTTGTATGTGATACACACTGATATCAGTGTGGAAGAGAAAAACAAGTACAGGTATGGAATTATGTAATGTTGTTGAAGACTCCATGAAGACCTGGTTTGTAGAGCCTTTCTTCTGTATATCGTGGCTACTGAAGACTGAAGATAGATCAGAGCTCATGTAAATGTGACAATAAGAATACTTCCCATTAGGTGCATTCACGACATGTGGAACAGATTCCATTGTTAAAATGAGTCAATAGTTGCTGAAGTTCAAAAGTGCGTCTGTAATTAGAAGCACGCGTTGAGACTGAAGAGCTGTTGATGCCGTAATCTGTGCCTGGAGAGTGTCAGCGCACGTCTGTCAACAAAGCAAACTCTCACTGCACAAAGTCATTACAATGAAAATGCAGGCAGCGAAAAAAAGAACAGTCCTAAAGCTGACATTGAAAACCATTCTAATGCAATCCATACTTCTGTTTAATTCTGTTGTCTTCTTGTGCTGTGTATGTGAGGTGTGTTTCTGCTGGGGGAGCGCACATACAGGTTATTCTCAATAATAATTAGTATTTCAACGTCATATCTGCTTGAAGTGTACTGTATAAAGAAAGGACCAATCTGGGGAACAATGCAGTTGTATTTTTTATTTTTAGCTTAGTATGTTTTTTCAATTCAATTCAATTCCATGTATTTTTGTACAGCCTTAAATCACAACAGTAGTAATCTCAGGGATTGAATTTGCCATCACAGATCAGAGTACAAAAATTTCAAACATAAGAAATGCTATGATAAAAAAGCACGTTGATGATTGTATTTGTGATAGTTTTTTCCCTGATTGAATTCATATATATATATACAGTAAGTAAGTATTCGGCCCCCTTGAACCTTTCAACATTTCGCCACATTTCAGGCTTCAAACATAAAGATATAAAAATTATTTTTTTTGTCAAGAATCAACAACAAGTGGGACACAATCGTGAAGTGGAACAACATTTATTGGATAATTTAAACTTTTTTAACAAATAAAAAACTGAAAAGTGGGGCATTAGGCCCCCTTGAGCTAATACTTTGTAGCGCCACCTTTTGCTGCAATTACAGCTGCAAGTCGCTTGGGGTATGTCTCTATCAGTTTTGCACATCGAGAGACTGGAATTCTTTCCCATTCTTCCTTGCAAAACAGCTCGAGCTCAGTGAGGTTGGATGGAGAGCGTTTGTGAACAGCAGTCTTCAGCTCTTTCCACAGATTCTCGATTGGATTCAGGTCTGGACTTTGACTTGGCCATTCTAACACCTGGATACGTCTATTTGTGAACCATTCCATTGTAGATTTGGCTTTATGTTTTGGATCATTGTCCTGTTGGAAGATAAATCTCCGTCCCAGTCTCAGGTCTTTTGCAGACTCCAACAGGTTTTCTTCCAGAATGGTCCTGTTTTGGCTCCATCCATCTTCCCATCAATTTTATCCATCTTCCCTGTCCCTGCTGAAGAAAAGCAGGCCCAAACCATGATGCTGCCACCACCATCTTTGACAGTGGGGATGGTGTGTTCAGGATGATGAGCTGTGTTGCTTTTACGCCAAACATATCGTTTTGCATTGTGGCCAAAAAGTTCGATTTTGGTTTCATCTGACCAGAGCACCTTCTTCCACATGTTTGGTGTGTCTCCCAGGTGGCTTGTGGCAAACTTTAAACGAGACTTTTTATGGATATCTTTGAGAAATGGCTTTTTTCTTACCACTCTTCCATAAAGGCCAGATTAGTGCAGTGCATAACTGATTGTTGTCCTATGGACAGACTCTCCCACCTCCGCTGTAGTTATCTGCAGTTCATCCAGAGTGATCATGGGCCTCTTGGCTGCATCTCTGATCAGTCTTCTCCTTGTTTGAGATGAAAGTTTGGAGGGACGGTCGGGTCTTGGTAGATTTGCAGTTGGCTGATACTCCTTCCATTTCAATATAATTGCTTGCACAGTGCTCCTTGAGATGTTTAAAGCTTGGGAAATCTTTTTGTATCCAAATCCGGCTTTAAACTTCTCCACAACAGCACGTATAATATTATTATATTTTATTATATTATATTATATATTATACTCCCACATTTTGTTCCTTACATTATACTCCTACATTTATTCTTGTAAGAAAGTCACTGCTCATAGTGCGTAGGGGAAATAGTTTGAGCTAGCAGTATGTAAAAGAATGTAGGTCACGACGGCGCGCTCACAGAATGCTGAGAGACTGAGACTTATCATAGAAACATCAGTCCACCTCAGTAGATCCTCTGCTCAAATCCAACACTGCATGGGGCCTGTAGCGTCGTGTTGCGACCAATGTGTTGACATAATATCAACTTATTGTGGATGTGGTTACACACAGGGCTATAAAGGTCTACAGGGGCGGGGGTTCTTTTGTGAACTAAATTAAAACCATTTAAAAGGGCTCAGGCCATCTATTGAGAGATGCGTTCCCTGAGGGTCTCTCCGAGATTTCTCCCGTCTCCCACAGCTTTTTAAGTATTGTCTCTGTGACGAGTTTGTAGTTTAATAACCTTCTTCATCTGATCCACATGTAAGCAGCGGGCTGTCAAACAGTTGGCTTTTCATGTGTCTAAATTACACACATTTGCTCATGTCAAATTATAGTTGTCCGAAAGGATCCTTTGGACAGAAAAGGGGGGGGTTTGCTTGTGGTAACTTGCACCAGGTCAACATATTATGTGTCCTTTAAATCCCCTGTGTCTGCATATGTCTCCTGACAGAGGCCCTAGTGCAGGATGGGTTAAATGCAGAGGAAAAATAAAGCATAACTTACATTAATCAGAAAATTCCCTGTTACAGCCTGAGCCGGCCTTCCCTATTGATCTCCTGGTTTGAGAACAGCAGCAGTGTGGCTGAGGGTGGGTCCCCTCGGCTTGTGGTATCGGAGGTTGTGTCAGTTGAATTATTGAAGGCGTCAAACCGATCCATCGGCACGCCACCGCAAAGGCCCTTTCCCACTGGGGTGTCTACGGCCGCTGCAGAAAGAGCTGACTGAGGCTGTGAAAGCTCACTGCCTCCCCTCATCTCCGCCTCTCCCATCCCTGCCTCCCCCATCCAGCTCTAATTATGAGAGCTCGTAAGTAGACTCAAGGCAGACAGACAGGAGCTGAATCTTGAAACGGTCAGCAAAAGTATTTTCATTTTGTTTTTGTGGTTTCCTCATTTTGTAGAAGCCTTTTACAATTATACAGTTTTCCCTAAGTGCGGTGCGGTTTTCAGATGTTGTGTACCTTTGTTCTTTGCTTTAGAGATAATGCCAATGTTCACGTTTCATATAGTCTCCATTCCATGGAGAATATTATTTTGGTAAAGTGATTTGTTAAGCTGCCTCAGAATGTACAACATGGGTGGAGGATTTTAACATGAAGTTACAAGCATGAGGTTTTTTTTAATCAGACTACAGTATATCTTCTCTTTTTGATTCGAATCTTTGTTGAGGCAATGGTCTGGTCCGGTCCCTCTCTTAAAATCCAATACATTCATCAGCTGTTCCACTGATGGTGATTTGGGTAAATTGTTCACATGAGCACAACATTCAGAGCAAAAATGCCTTTTGCTGTTGTTTGTGCAGAGAAGAGAACAGCTCTGTTTGTCGATGTGACGATGAGTAATGGAGTCGTGTGTGCAGAGGATCATCTCAAGTGGAGATTTGCATCACTTATCCCACTGCTGGACTATTGCAGACACCAGGCCAAGGCACAGGTCCAGGCCCAGGCACAAGTTCAGGCTCAGGCTCAAGTTCAGGCTCAGGCTCAATTCCAGGCACAGGGTCCAGAATCAAGATGGAGTACAAACACATAATTCCTTTCCTTCTACTACTGTATTACTGAGTGTGCACTTGTTCTGTATATCAAAAAATATAGAAATAGAATTATAGAAAATATATGAAAAAATATTATTCATGTCTTGAACACCATGAGCCAAAGCAAATTGTGATTCTCTATATAACTGCTCTGATGATCCAGTGTACAGGTCACAATCAAATAGCTGCAAACAGTGATGAGAGATGTGTGTTTGTTTGCCCCTAAACATGATTTATTTATCTTGGCTCTAATTTAGAATAATAACATTTATTTAAAAAAAAAAGGGATGAAAACATGCAAACTCGTATGTGTGCTGAAGTTAATAATAATATGTCCTAATTTATGCACATTCTATGACATGCAGCGCATAGTAGAAGCAGAATATAAAAATCTTTCGAATATAAAGTAAATATATGCACCGGATGGAGCCTGTGCACACGGGGGCTGTGTGTGTGTGAGTGGGAGATGAATTATGCAGAGGCGGCATGGGGCTGTTGTTGGAGGTGGCGGCTGCGTGAAAAGGACCATCACCGGGTCTGAGGCTGATCCCTGCTCCAGGAAAAACCCCAACAGGAGGAGGGGCTTGTTAAAGCTGGGATACATAACTTAAACAACACATGCAGTCAGTCCAACAGAAAGAGTCTTGTCAAAGTCAAATGTTGTGAACAAATCAGACAACAACATGCTGTCTTTATCTTGTAGAACACATGGTATCTTTTGCATAGAGCCCTGTGAGTCACTATTTGATGATGAAGACTGAGACCTGATTAGCTGAGTGATGGTGGTTCTCTCGTCTGAAAAAGATAATCTAAAGATGTGACAGAGGCCACAAATACAAAAAGTGAAAATTAGTGTTAGAAGCAAACTGTATTAGAGCCGGTAACTAGTGACATAGATTATCCAGACTGAGTAAGTGTGCAGAGTTCTATTGCTGTGGTTTTAAAGTGATGTACCCTTGCTTTAAAGCTTTCTTTTTTGAGCTTTTAAAAATGTTATCACACATCAAAAATACCTGGAGTTGCTTACATTTCCAACCACCCTATATCAGGAATGTTGTCCCTATGCAATGATGAATTCTTACACTAGCACAAAATGTTCAAAGCAATTCTCCACCTTTTCCTCATATTTCTCTGGTGCCTTCATTTAAACATGATGTCACTGGGGCAATAACACTGTAAAAAGGGTGCTTCAAACATGTAGATTCCCCATTGAGTGACAGCAGGTGGTGAGTCCATATATAGTCACGCTCTTCTGTGCAGAGCCGGTAAAGTGAAAGCGGGGCTGGGTGCCCTCTCAGACCGGACTGAGCTTCTTATTACAGTTATTTACAGAGGTCAATGACAGGAAGATCGAGGCATATTTACAGATGCCTCATGGAAATATAATTAGAGCGGAGGCTTAGAGAGAGCTGCCGTTTCAGCGTTTTGCTGAGGGACCAGGCCGCTCTGCGGAGTGGGTTTACCTTGTTAGCGACGCGGCGTGCCATTATCAGCTGCAATTGTACCAAGGACTTTTCAGGAAAAAATGGGAGAGCGAGTTAGTTCCATTATTCCATAGGTTTCCTTTTTATTTGTTAAAATGAGATGATCAATGGGATATATGAGATAGAATGTGCTGAATTAGGCGTTGGTTCAGTTACATTAAACTTATCTTGATTGAGGTGTTTTGTGTAATTATTATTATATAAATAATAACTGATACATTAATAAACTATTGGGAGTGGGAAAGCTTGAGTTTTGTGGCAGTATTTCATAAAGTACTAGATTAAATGTAGATGTAACGTTTCAGGCTGAGGCCCTCAGTCAGGCGAAGGCCTCAGCCTGAAATTTTACATCTACTTTTAATCTAGCACTTTGGACTAGGCTATTGAGACGTGTGGACTTATTTGAAACCTTCCTCAGCCTTTAGTCCATAGCATTGGCCCCCCCAACAGACTTGCACACATAGACACCCACACACATTTGAAAAAGTCACATTATGTTATGTAAACTTTTGCATACTTTGGCCTGAAGGTTGAATGAGGGTGGTCCTCTCTTTGTCTGAAAAAGTTGATCAAAAAAATCTACAATAGGCCAACAATACATGCCTGTGACAACTAGTGAAAGAGATTTTATTCCAGAGGTATTATTGTTTGAAAGTGATGTACCCCAGCTTTCATATCTGATTTTCTATACTTCAATCTTCAAGCCAACTCTGAAGATTTCATCATAAACAAAAGCTTGTTTAATTAGCTCTGAAAAAGAATAGAGGTGTTGAGGATGTTGATGCTGTTGTGTAACCTCCAACGCTCCAAACGCAGACCTTTCATCTCAGATCAAACCGGCGCATGTAAATCTTGTCTCCTGCAAACCATGGAGCGCTGAGGCGACTGTGGCCTGGGCAGACATCTCCACTACTTGTCTTTATCCCTGCTTGTCCTTTATCACTGCAATTTGTGAGGCAGGGAAGCTCCAGCTTTGATCAAGAACAACTTGTATGCATCATCTACGTTCCAGAGCAAATGTGAAAGCGCTCATCATGCATGCGCCACCAGCAGAGGCGTCCCTTGCCATTTGGCAAGGCAGGTAGCTGCCCCCGGCAAGGGGCCCCCGAGGGCCGACTGATTTGACACAAGCGGTTGACTTGTACAAGCTACAACAGCTACCTGCAGTGACAAAACTTGCCACGTTCTTCATTAACAGTTAAAAACCCTGCCTGGAGTCAATTAATTGTAGTAAGATTTAATGATTGAGTGGTAAAGTTGCAGCGCTCGCGGTGCGACAACCCAGGCTCGAATGCAAGTGAGATCTATATATGGACTAAATTATATATATTATATTCTATGACAGATTGCTCAAGAACGGTAAAAGGTATCAACAAGCAGTTTTTTGCAGATTAAAGCTAAGAGCCTAATCTTTCATTTGGCCCTCAGTGTTTAAATAGACTATATAAACACTGAGGGCCAAATGAAAGATTAGATTTTGTAGGATTATAAAATCTGGTTATGTGGTCAGTATCGGGGCCCCCAAGGATTCTGTTGCCTGGGGCCCGGGGTACCCTTGTAACGCCACTGGCCATGACCCGTCTGACCTCTAAAGCTAAGCACAGCAGGGCCTGTTTAGTACCATGATAATTATGATTATCATTATTGTTATTATCATCATCATCAGCATCAGCATAGTTGGAGCATAAAACCACTCCAGGACTGTGCACGGAAGGCTGTGGAGTGAGAGCTTATGAGTGAGGTCAGAGGACCGGGGGCTGAGGACTGAAGGCTGAAGGCAGAGGGTTGAAGGCACAGGGCTGAGGGCCAAGGACTGAGGGCTGAGGACTGTAGCTAAGGACTAAGGACTTAAGAAGGCTGGCTCATCTTTATTTATTTGCTTAAAAACATGGTTTTAACCGCACCAAAGTCTGTCCACAAAGTCTCCTGACCATATCTGCATTTATTTAAACAGTGCATGTTTGTGCTCAAGACCCTGATGACTGAGAAAAGCCCCTCCTCCTCTTCCCCCTTATCGCTTATCCTCACATAAACATGTGTGCCCACTCGAAGGTTCATACAGGACAAGCTCACATATAAGCTTTTTCAGTGCCACATAAGAAAAACTGTATTTTCTTGTTTCAATGAGGAGGAAGTTCAGTCAGGCAATGATGATACAATACTTCAAGGTCTTTAGTTACATGTTGTCAGTATTCATATGTATGACTTAAAAGTAAGAGTAAGTCACTCTTTGGCTTAAAAATAGTCTCTTATTTTGCAATGACAGAAATATCATATCTTCCCGTGAGCGGCTTTGCATCTCGTCTTGTTTCTACTGAAATATTACTTTGACTATAATCTTACACAGAGTTGCATTCAAGTGCAGTTTTTTATGTTTCTGGATAAGCACTTGCAATTCCTTTCATCTCCATTTATTTTTGTATAGCCTTGAATCACAACAGCAGGACTGTTTATGCTGTTAATTCAACAACAATAGATCAGAGAATCAAACAGTTCAATAAACACAACACATGAGTCATTGATCCAATGTCTGTAAATGTTAATAAATGCCCATACATATACTGGTTCGTCACTGTTCTTAGAGCCTCATGTATAAGCAAGGAACAAAAAAAAAAAACCATTGTGTAAAAATGTGAGGATTGCAGGACTAAGACATCCTCGACTGAGGCTATAACTTTAAACTGAGTGTATGTGTGTATATATATCTGTGTGTGTGTGTGTGTGTGTGAGAAAGTTTACAGCGGTCCACTCTTAACTATCTGTGCGTCACTCCGCTCCATTGGATGGCTTGGTACTCCGTGTGCAGCGAGTTGATGTTTTTTTGGAGCAGAGCTGCAGAAAAATCACTGCACAGGAAACAGAATGTAACAAACACTCTCCCCTATCTGCGGATTACTCCTTTTACGAACGTTGTCCATTTTTAGAAAAGCGTCTGAAGTGTCGGGGAGCTCAGGATTAAAAATGACGAGAGCTGAACACATCTAGCTTTATGGCTTTTGTGTCTGTCTAAGGCCCTGTCCACACGAAGTCAAGCTCAGGCCTAAACGCAAAAATACTTTATCAATCCAGTGTATCGTCCATACGAGGCCGGCGTTTTGGGAGGGTGTAAACAAACATTTTTGAAACCAGGTCCCAGAGTGGAAAGATTTCAAAACTCCGTATATGCCGCTCCGTGGTTACTGCCTCTCCGCAATGTATCTGAGACGCTTGCGTCATCGCCCCGCCTCTTGTTAAAGCACGCATGCGCCGCACTCAGAAAATAATGACAACAACAATGTAGCTTGTTGGTTTTGTAATCCAGTGTGACCCGAAGCAACAGTTCAACCTCATCGTCCGCCCATACTAATGTAGTACCAGCTCGCCCACTCGCCATGTTGTCTGTTTACAAAATTCCTCGCATGCCCACGGAAGTTTGGGCTTGATCCCGTCATTGCGTCACAGCGCCACCAACAGGTCTGGCATAGTTTCACAGCGTTTTCAGGCGTATTGACTACATTCATATGGACGCACACATTTACTGAGCTAACTCCGTGTTTACAGAAAAAGTTTCTGAAATTATAAGCGTTTTGTCTTCGTGTGGATATAGCCTTAGAGGTAATTAAGGATGCTTGTTATAGCTGAGACTGATGATGCATTTGTATGTTTCTCTGGACAGCTTTTGACCATGTCCCATTCCCAAACAAAATTGTCAGATTTATGTGATATTCTGCCATAATCTTGGACACTATATTAACATTTATGAACATGAGTCATTCCGCTTCTTATGGACACTGGCTCCTATGTGTTTTTTATTATTGCATATCCTGATCTGTTGTTGATCAATCAACATTTTAAAGTCCTCCAAGACCAACTGCGGTTGTGATTTAGGACTCTACAAAATAATTGAAACAGATGTGTTGAGGGTGTAGAAGGATAGGTGTACACTTGAATATGAACCTGTTCTTTGCCTTTCCCGTGTGTGTGTGTGTGTGTGTGTGTGCGTGTCAATAGGTGACGTGTGAAGAGCCCTGAAACTCTGCCGTGTACACTCTACTAGGTGAGTGAACAACAGAGACACATTATACACTTAGAAAAATGTATTTCCATCTCATGCTGACATTCTAAGCCATTACATTCCAAAGCAAATATCATGAAGGACAAATAATGCATGAAATGTGTTTTTAAAGAAGCTATCCCCGATATTTTTTTAAGTAGTTCATAAAAATGCTTTTTACTTCATACAAGTTGCATAATAATACATCATTTAATTGAAAACTTGAGGTCATTGATTCAGCTGTGTATGAAATGTATGCCGCGAAAAGTGCTGAGTGGAGTCTTAGCGGGACGCTCGTTCTCCTCCACTCACAGAACAAGCAGAGAACAGCCTGCGTCCTCTAGCCTCTACAGCGCTGCTTAACACTAGGGCTTCGACTTCCAAATTCAAATATAACTCTAAAATAAAAATAAATATATATTCGAACAAATATTAGACAGCCCTTATAATTCTAAATGTATTTAATGACTGCAAATAAAATAATTAGCTCCCAAAGGTTTCACCGGGACGTGCTAGGCAGGTAACAGCTAGACAGCTCCATCCATCCATCCATCCATCCATCCATTTTCTTCCCCTTAATCCATTTCTGGGTCGGGGGGTGGCAGTCAGAGCTGCACCCAGTACACATAGCACCAGCCCCTCACTGATCCTCCTGCAGGGGGTGAGTCCACAGGAGCTGAGATCTTTCAGTTGGGGCTTTGGGCAAAGTAGGGTTAAGTGTCTTGCCCAAGGACACAACGACACAGCTGTTTCATGGTAACTTCTGGGTTTTTCGCGATCGCTTTTTGTCACTTTAAAACAGTATTTTTGTCATGAAAACGTTGACAGCAAATTCTGAAATCGTCCGTGCATGTGTGTTAAGGATGTATATGTATAATGTATTGTCCGATTAACGTTTAATGGTGTTGATTGATTGATTGGTATTTGTTTATTGAGCGTGGCTAGCTCCGCTAGCTTCTCTGCACAGACAGAAATAGTGCGGAGTAATGTTAGTATTTTACACACCTAAATTACAAACAGAGATTGCGTTGCCAAAGGGCAGCGGTCATTATTGTTTTGAGAGTTCTGTTAATCAAGAAAAAATGATCGGTAGACCGTTTTGAAATCACATTCAAGTCAATGGAGTGTTCTGCTGCTGCTGTGAGGAGCTGTATAATAAATTATAATTAAATATTCTAACATATTCTAATGTTTAAATTAATAAATTTGGATGCAAAACTAGCTGTATTCTTTTACTTATATATTGTGTTAGCAGTGCGTTGCTTTTGTACCATTTCATTGGTGATTGTTGTACAGCCTACAAGAAGTTTTGCTAATGCTAATGTTAGCATACGTATCGGATCGCAAATTAAACTAGATGGCTCCGTGGGATGAGAGCGTAGGGGAAAGGTGAGCGAGTTGGGGGGCGATGCTAAACATTCAAACCTTGCAGAAACGGGTATAGCTCCTTTAAAGCAAATTAACGTAACTTTCACAACAACATAAATTCTGTGCTCAAAATCATGTCACCATTCCTGTCTCTAAAATACTGCTTCTATCACTAGTTTTCACTTATATGTATTTTAAGCCTCTGACACATCTTTAGATCTACTTTTTCAGACAGAAAATTACTATAGAGAGAACCACCCTCACTGAGCAAATAACCAAAGAGTCGAATAGTGACTCACACAAATCTTTCTTACACAAACTTGTTTTCTAATTAGATCAAGACAGCATGTTGTGGTCTGATTTGTTCACATCTTTTAACTTTTAGAGTATCACACCTTTGAAAGCCTGGTACATCATGTACTGTACTTAAAACACTCAAAATCATGATTTAGAAAATATTTGGATAAACATGACAAGTTTCACAATATCGCCAAAAATTACGATTTAATTCTTACACTTTGTGACCTAATAGATCTCTGACTTGTTGGTGGAGTTCTCTCACATTTGCCTGTTGTGTTGTTGTGTGTGCAGCGTGTGCGGTGCGTGTTCGCTGGCCGGAGCGCGGGCCGCCCAGCATGCGCGCAGTATGGACCGCGTGAGGGAGCAGCGGCCTTTCTGCTCGCTGAGAAACCAGAGAGAAGACACAGGGGTGCACCACCACAACGACACCAGAGAGGGCGACAGAGAGCGGCGCTACACCAGCTCCTCTGCGGACCGAGGACAGGCTCCTGACGCACCGCCACGCGTCCCCACCCAGCAGTCCTACAGCTCTAGCGAGACGCTGCACGCCTTCGAGCATGAGCCGGCGCGAATGCTGTTCGGACGAGCTGCAGACATGGTGCACGAGGAGAGAGAGTACACCCGAACAGGTGAGATAGAGACAGAGACATGCACAAGGAGAGGTAGAGGTAGAGAGAGAGACATGGTGCACAAGGAGAAAGACCACATTCAAACAAGTGAGAAAGAGACTGAGATAGAGAGAGAAAGCAGAGAGAGAAAGAGAGAGGGCAGAGATGGTGCATGAGGAGAGAAAGTACAATAAAAAAGGTAAGAGACGCTGACTGGGAGATACAGAGAGTGAGGGAGCGGAGATGGTACACCAGAGAGAGTACACCAGAAGAGGAGAGACAGGGAGTCAGCAAGACTAAGGCCCCGTTTATACGGAGACAATGCGGCAGCAAAACGCTATAGTTGGATGTCGGTTGCTACCCCCCGTTCATACGGACACTGTGTTTCAGCGGGGCGCTCTTTCACACCCGCGTGAAGGAAAATGGTGTTTTTTGTTTTTTTTTCTACTTCTCCGATGCGACCTGCCGGGCATACTGTAGCGTAGCTTATGTACGCTAATTGAATGTTTAGATCCAGCGTTTTCCACCACAGAATAAGGCTGCAGATCTGCTGCTATAAATAACCCTATAGCGTTATTTATAGCTTTAGCACAAGCTTAGGTCTGTGGACGTTTTAATGGAAATGAGGATGGATTGGCTGGACCAGTGATGGCGTTTTCCAGTTGTCAAATCTGCATCTTTTTGATTGTGGCAAATGTGTCCTACCAAACGTTGTCAACAAGCACAGAGAACGCCAAATATTTCCTCAATGGTAATTTAAAGTAGTACTAGAATTTAATATGCTGCTATCCAGAATATATAACTACAATATGTGTTTATAATATTTGGGGTGTTCATTTTGACAGGTTCAGATGAATTATGTTAAAAAAACGGCTTTGAAGTGGCACTTTTTCACTTCCGCATTGAAACGCTAGGGGGAGCCAAAATGGCGGCGATGACGTAGGAGAAGGGAATCTCACAGCAGTGGACAGCAGTCTGGGCTTGCCTGGCCTGCCAGACACTCCTCCTTTCTGTTCAAAAGAAGAACCGTCTGGACACCTCTTCCTAGCCTATAATTTCACGATTTTACCCACATCGGTCCAATCACGCACCGAGAGGCGGGACTTCCTTTCACCTTTGAGTTGCTAATAACTCCTCGTATCTTTAAGTTTTTGTTACAAAATTGACAGCAGTCGTTTACATTTGCACTAGCTGACATGCCGCCATCCCTTGTTTTGTGTTTACTGAAACGGCTTGGGTGCCGCTAGTTGCTGCGTCATATCCTGTGTGCATCTAATTGGTTGATGCAGTCTGTCAACCACGCCCACCGGGAATTCGCTGAGATCAAGCTCGTTCCCAGACTATATGTCTTTGAAAAAGCATATCGTTTGGCAGGCCAGGCAAAGTCTGGGCTGGAATCTGTAGGAGGTTTCACTGTCATCTAAACAAGGTATAAACATATTTTCATCCGTTTTGTACATAATAGTGCGCAACTCTTTTAACCTTTTAGCCTTATTTGTGAGATTCAAGCTAATTAGTGTTGGGCAAGTTAGCTAACTCTACTTGATATCATAAAACATGCTTACAAGGCTAATATTCGTTTTTACATTATGCCAGTCTCACTTTGGTTGCCTTAGATTTATTTACCACAATGTACATTGTCATATCCATAAATGCTAACACCTATTAACGGTTTAATTAGCATTTTTATCAATGATTGCATCATTAATAAAAATGTTTTCAACTATGTTTTCAACTTCTTCAGCTTTTTGTTCATAAAAGTAAAATATTTGTTTAATTCAAGTTATTTTGTTTAGAATTTTTGATTATTACCATGTACATTGTGGTTAATAAATCTAAGGCAACCAAAGTGAGACTGGCATAATGTAAAAAACAATATTGGCCTTGTTAGCATGTTTTATGATATCAAGTAGAGTTAGCTAACTTGCCCAACACTAATTAGCTTGAATCTCACAAATAAGGCTAAAAGGTTAAAAGAGTTGCACACTATTATGTACAAAACTGATGAAAATATGTTTATACCTTGTTCAGATGACAGTGAAACCTCCAACAGTTTCCAGCTATGACTGCTGTCTGCTGCTGTGAGATGTCCTTCTCCTACGTCATCGCCGCCATTTTGGCTCCCCCAAATATTTTAAACACATATTGTAGTTATATATTCTGGATAGCAGCATATTAACCCTCTAGGCGCCACGGTCGACTTAAGTCGACAAGCTGCGGTACTGTTAAAAACGGCCGAGTGTGACCAACTGAGTGTCAAAATTCATTCATACTCCCTGCCACTAGTTGGCAGACATGTCAGACTACCTCCCTGGCCCCAAAAAACGTCATGCTCCCATACAAAATATTCGAGCAAGACCGCGTTGAACCAGGGCAGAAATCATAGCGAAGCGAATGCAGCTGCGGGGCAGCCTGCGAGTGTTATAGCGCACCAAACACTAACTTTAGACACTTTGCACAGAGTCTGCAGTGGGAACAGTGTTTCTCAGAGTAAGGACAAGTCATTGGGAGGTTCGGAGACAGGTTAGATTTGCGGAAAACAAGCCTGGAACTCGGGTCGGGGCGCCGCGCCGCGACCTCCAGCCTCCGCTGAAGTTTCCGCCAAAGTCTCCGATAAAAGTGCTTCCCACATATTTATTTTCAAGCCTCCCGTAATCACCGGGACAGTAATGTGTTGGAGAGGCCTTGTCTTGTGTGTGTTAGACGAGAGAGAGGGCAGGGGAGATGAGAGAGAGAGAGTGGGGGAGACAGCTGCAGCAGCAGGGTCGCGGTGACGCGCGCGTCTGGGCAGACTGCTCACAGCAGCATCATGATTTATATTTTTTTACTATTTTCATGAACATTTACAATGTTACAGTGTGTGCTCTGTGTGTGTTCATGTTCTAGTGATAAATATATGTCTGTCAGTTAGAAAAATACAAATATTGTATGAAAATTCTAAAATCCACTATTTCTAACGCCAAATGACGTCATAATATGCAAATTAGATGGGGGGATTTATTCTCTACATAAACTTTGGACCATCCTTTATATTTTTCTAATTCACAGAAAGCCTTTATCTCTTATCACTTTTAAGTTATAGCCTTTTGAAATTAAGATGTCAAAATTGAGCGTTTTGGAAAAAAACCTCTGGCGCTTAAAGGGTTAAATTCTAGTACTACTTAGAGAAGCAGGAGTGGCTTCAAGCTTCAGTGCCGTGTCTCCTTTAGCTGCACTTGCCATGGTGTCATAAACTGCAGGTTAGCTTACTGGTGGGCTACAATATGTTGCGTTGTCATGTGATTTTACCTTTTTGCACACTTCCCTGATGTACTGTATAATAAGCTGGGGGAGGTGAATTGTCGATCTCCTATTGGATTTCGATGCTCGAGAACATGACATAAGATTGGTTTTACACCCCTGCTAGACATGTCCAAATCAAGTTCTCATGTTAGTAGCTGTTGTAAGATAGTTAAAGGTATATAGGAGGATTTTCCCAATTTTTAGGAAAGTTCCGCCTTCTCCACTTTTTGAACGAAACTCTCAGGTCTTACTGGACGAGGCCGTATCAGCAGAATGATTGACAGTTGGGAGGACCAATAGTCTTGACCATCCACCCGGAAGTAGAAAATCCTCCTATATACCTTTAACACTAGTAAACTTCAGTTCTATCAAATGTAAATCACTATGAACATATACCATTTTATGGCTCAAAACAGCAAATCCAGTTAAAACAGTTTGATAATCTGGATTGTCGGCCCCTGGACAAGTTAGGTGAACTAAAGTGATCCTCCAAGGCTTGGAAGGTTCTTCGTAAAAAGTCAAAAGTGTACAGAGACAAGTATTGCTTAAATACCTGATGTATGTCACTTGTTCATTATTATTTAATAATTTAATAATTATGAAGTAACCATTTGTCACTACATATGTAGATAGTTTGTTACACCATGATTAAACCACATGTTAATGATTAATAATTGTATACATGATTATAAACGAATACTGCAGTGCATGACTTATTAGTCAGTTACTAACAATTAATTAATAGTTTATGTGAGCTTTTGTAAAGTGTACACTGTTTACACTTTATTAGACATATGTAAAAGACCCTTTAGTATGTCAATTAATCATTTATTAATACTGCGGTGCATGACTTATTAGTCAGTTACTAACAGCTACTTAAAGTGGTTCTCACCCCCGCTCCTCGGAGCTTACGTCACTCATATTTCCTGTTCAAATCTTCCTCTAAATGGGCGTAGCCTGGAGGACTAAAGGGGGCGTGAACGAGACTGGGCCGTTTACATTGCTCTGGGCGGGGGGCTGCAGACGTCAGGTCTTGCTGCCGCGCCAGTGTTGGCGCCAGATTCAAAATTCAAATGTAGTAATACATGTCGCCAGCAGATGGCGCCTCACAGACGGTTTTAGGCAGAAAGTTTAACTTTCAACAAATTTGCACCAAAGTGACAAAATTATGACCAGGATATGTAGACAACACTATTGGACACTCATTTAAATCGTTTACTAGCAAAAAAAAGTGGATTTGAGGGTGAGTTGTCCTTTAAGAGTATTTGTGAGAAAAACAGAAGGATGACTAACGTTTTCGTATAACAATAATAAGCCATGAGACATGAATACATGATATGTATTTATCTTTTAAATTGCTTCACAAAGCTATAGCAGGCCCTTAACAATGACAAAAATAAAAGGCCTCCAAATTGGCCCCATGAATTCAATACACATGTAAACACGAACAGTTCCAGTGAGGAGCATCATCTTCAAACAGATGAACATACGATGGCACACACTAGGGCTGGGTGTTATGGCTGAAAACGATATCACAATATAAGTGATTCAAATCGATCGTTATCAATAATTATCTATCATTTTTTAAAAACCTTAATAAATACATTTGTTGTGTTGGCTAACACAAGTTAGCAGCACATATTTAGTCACAGGGGAACGAGAACTCAGGCTGGAGGCATATGTCCACAAGCACAGAGTCCCCCATTGATAGTCCTGGTTTTATCCTGGTTTAGGCTCCC